GGTGGCCCTGGCAGTGCTGGCAATGGCTGCACTCACTGACCCCAGAGGGTTTTCCCACCTGAACCATGCCATGATCCAGGAGAAGCTGTGGGGGCTGCAGGGAGCTCAGGATGTGTCTTTAGCTACAGGAAGTTGAGAACAAGACACTCCCAGAATCACCCTTCTGAGACAAGCCCAGGCATTAAGGGGTTAAATCCTGTCTGCTCTGGAAGCTCCCAAATCAGAGATTCTCCCCCATTCCCACAGGTGAATTCCCCATTCCAGAGCTTGGCTGAGCACAGACAGAGATCTCCAGGTTAGGAGCAGCTGCATTCAACACTCTGGGTCACTTCAGAGAAAAATCCTCTTTTACAGAGGAAAAACTCCCAAAATAACAGCAGGGTCTCCTAAACCATTTCCCTTCATTAGAAAAATCCACAGAAACATGGAATTCAGCAGCAGCAACACTTACCAGCCAAATAGAGGGTGTGAGAATTTTTGTTTTCTGGCACTTTATCTGACCTCTCACAGGGCTGCATGCCCAGGAACTTGATGATGTTATTGACAGCTTCTGCATTCAGAGATGGAAGAACAAAATCATTCCAGTGTGATAAATTATTTATTTATCACACGAAATCAAACCCCAGCCTGGCAGCTGGGTGATCAATAAATGGGGGATTATCTCACCATCCAGGGTTTTGATGGAGCTGAGGGCAAAGGTTTCTTCTTTCTCAAAGTCATCTCCCACCTCCTCCCAGGCAGCTGCAAAGTTGGGCTTCAGAACCTTCTGGAGATGGTCAGACACTGTCACCTCCAAGTCTTCCAGCTGGGAGGAAAAAAAAGGAAATTTTCAGGTTAGTTATGGAAATAATCCTCACCTTGGAAAGGGAAAAAGAGCCCACAGCATTTTGCCAAGACAATGCCTGGCTTTAATTCCAGGAGAATCATATCATAATAGCTTCTAAAAAAAAGGGAAAGAGTATTTATGGTTATTTATGGGGAAATAGTATTGATTTAAGAGGGAAATAGCATTTATGATGAATAAATAAATAGTATTTATTTATTAATTCATAATCCTTAACAATTTTTACATAAAAAATCTGTGAGACTAAAGGAGAGCAGAAAACGAGACCATCACTTGGGTCAAAGCCTTTACGGCCCCTCCTGGGCTTCTTCCATGGAGAGAATTCCTCAGAATCCATGGAATTCCAGGATGGTTTGGGTTGGAAAGGTCTTGAAGGTGATAAAGTGTCACCCCAGCCATGGCAGGGCCACCTCCCCATGTCCCTGTGTGCTCCAGCCCCAGTGTCCAACCTTGGGCACTGCAGGGATCAGGGGCAGCCCCAGCTGCTCTGGGAATCCCTTCCCAAAATCCCAGCCCAGGCTCCCTCTCCAGGGAATTCCCTCCATTCCCAGCTCTCCCAGCCTGGCATTGGATCCATCCCCACCCCGACTCCTCTCCAGGAAGGGATTTTGGGCTCTGGGGGCTTC